AACATACCAGCGATACAAAGATGCGAGAAACAACTATACAGCAGTAAGGAGAGAGGCAGAAAGAAATTTTGAAAAAGGGATAGCAGATAAATGTAAAACAGAACTGGGCCTATTCTACAAATTCATAAACAACAAATTGCAGGTAAAGGATAATATCCAGAGGTTGAAAATGGGAAACAGATTCACAGAAAATGAAAAGGAAATGTGCGAAACATTAAATGAAAAGTTCCAAAGTGTGTTTGTACAAAATGAAATCTTCAGAGAACCAGACACAATAAGAATTCCAGAAAACAACATAGAGCGGATAGAGGTGTCTAGAGATGAAGTGGAAAATATGCTAAAGGAGCTCGGGAAGAACAAAGCAGCTGGCCCAGATGGCGTTTCACCATGGGTTCTGAGAGAATGTGCATCTGAGCTCAGCATTCCACTTCACCTGATCTTTCAGGCATCCCTGTGTACAGGAATCGTAGCAGACGTGTGGAAACAGGCTAACATAGTTCCAATCTACAAAAGTGGTAGCAGGGAAGACCCCCTCAATTATAGACCTGTATCATTGACAAGTGTAATAGTGAAAGTATTGGAAAAGCTAATCAAAACTAAATGGGTAAAACACCTGGAGAGAAATGATATAATATCAGACAGACAGTATGGTTTTCGATCTGGAAGATCCTGTGTATCGAATTTACTCAGTTTCTATGATCGAGCCACAGAGATATTACAGGAAAGAGATGGTTGGGTTGACTGCATCTATCTGGACCTAAAAAAGGCTTTCGACAGAGTTCCACACAAGAGGTTGTTCTGGAAACTGGAAAATATTGGAGGGGTGACAGGTAAGCTTCTATCATGGATGAAAAATTTTCTGACTGACAGAAAAATGAGGGCAGTAATCAGAGGCAATGTATCGGAATGGAGAAATGTCACAAGTAGAGTACCACAGGGTTCAGTTCTTGCACCAGTGATGTTTATTGTGTACATAAGTGATCTACCAGTTGGTATACAGAATTATATGAACATGTTTGCTGATGATGCTAAGATAATAGGAAGGATAAGAAATTTAGATGATTGTCATGCCCTTCAAGAAGACCTGGACAAAATAAGTATATGGAGCACCACCTGGCAAATGGAATTTAATGTTAATAAATGTCATGTTATGGAATGTGGAATAGGAGAACATAGACCACATACAACCTATATATTATGTGAGAAATCTTTAAAGAATTCTGATAAAGAAAGAGATCTAGGGGTGGTTCTAGATAGAAAACTATCACCTGAGGACCACAAAGAATATTGTGCAAGGAGCCTATGCGATGCTTTCTAACTTCAGAATTGCATTTAAATACATGGATGGCGATATACTAAAGAAATTGTTCATGACTTTTGTTAGGCCAAAGCTAGAATATGCAGTTGTTGTGTGGTGCCCATATCTTAAGAAGCACATCAACAAACTGGAAAAGGTGCAAAGACATGCTACGAAGTGGCTCCCAGAACTGAAGGGCAAGAGCTACGAGGAGAGGTTGGAAGCATTAAACATGCCAAAACTAGAAGACAGAAGAAAAAGAGGTGATATGATCACTACATACAAAATAGTAACAGGAATTGATAAAATCGACAGGGAAGATTTCCTGAGACCTGGCACTTCAAGAACAAGAGGTCATAGATTTAAACTAGCTAAACACAGATGCCGAAGAAATATAAGAAAATTCACCTTCGCAAATAGAGTGGTAGACGGTTGGAACAAGTTAAGTGAGAAGGTGGTGGAGGCCAAGACCGTCAGTAGTTTCAAAGCGTTACATGACAAAGAGTGCTGGGAAGACAGGACACCACGAGCGTAGCTCTCATCCTGTAACTACACTTGGGTAATTACACTTAGGTAATTACACACACACACACACACACAGGTTTTCTGTCCCCAATATAATGAGTTATCTTCAATAAACAATGTCCTTATCACTGAAAACATCTTCACACCTTCTCTATCTCACCCCACAAAGACACTACCTTATACAATCTCAATATTTTACTTTGCACACATGCTCCACATGTCTACCTCACACACTCCCTATCCTTCCCTGAGCCAACCGTCACCATCTACCCCATACACACAGTTTCCTTCTCTCCCACAACACTCATGCTGCATCTATCAACCACACACACACACTGCCTTTCTCCCCTCCCACACACACCCTCTTTATCTTCCCCAACTATCATTGTCTCCCTCACATGCACTCCCTTCATCTCACCTATACCAACTATATCCCCCCACCCCCATCTCCCTAAACACCATTACCATCTCCCTTACCTATTTTATTTGAGGTCGTACATGTATTCCTGTGGGGCTACTCAACTAGATGGGACAGAAAAATTAGGAAAGGTGAAGGCATTGCCATACTAGTGAAAGAACACCTAAAAGGTAAATGAATTAATGATTGCGAACCCATGAGAGGATATAATGGCTCTGGAGATTTCTATTCAGGATGATAAACTAATAAATCATAAATGCCTACAGTAAATTGGCATGCAACACATGGCCAAATGAGGAGCTGGACGACAAACAAGATGGCTTCTCAGTGCTCATGAGAGAGGCTATAGTAAGAGCAGATAAAGAAAAATCATGACTGTTGCTTCTTAGTGACGTAATCTTGAAATCCATAGAATGGGAGGCCTACGAAGCAAGAACACAGGGTTTTTGGACTGGTACATTCATAAACCTGGAGACCTTCATGTATAAACTAGTTAAACAAGCATGAAAATGAGGGACAGGGATGTCTCTTCAATGCTGGATTTAATATTCAACAGGAAAGCTGAAGAGATTTTTGACATTCAGTACCTTTGGGCTAGAGTGACCATGTCCTTTCGGAAATTAAGTATGCAAGACGTTATAATCTAGAAAAGAATGATCAAAATGAAGCAGTTGAAAAAAACTGATTTCAAGAGAGGACAATATGGGGAACTCAAGAGAGTTTTTTAATGGATTTGACTGGGATAAACTTGCTGTTAGGCATGAACGTAATGGGAATCGGCAAAATTAATAAGGAAGAATTCTCAAGTCCAGGAACTTGAAGAACAAGAGGTCTTAGATTTAAGGTTACTAAACAAAGCTGCCAAAAAAAAATAATAAAATTTCACTCTCACAGAGTGGTAGGCAGTTGGAATAGGTTAAGTGAGGTGGTGGTGGCAGCAAAAACTGTCGGTAGTTTCAAAGCATTACATGAACAATGAGTGCTGGGAAGCCAGGGCTACACCACGAGTGTAGCTCTCGTCCTGTAACTACACTTAAGCAATTTCACGTGTGTAATTATACATCCTCCCCATCTATCCCATCACACACCCTCTGTCTTCCATGACAAATCCTCCCCCATCTTCCTCATACACCTTCATGTCTCAAACACACCCTCTCCATATCCTCCCTACACACACCTTTCCTATATCCCACTTCACTAACCATTTTCCTTATACACTACTAACATCACAGTAACCAACAAATTGCACACACAATCCAAAGCTGTCATTTGAATATACATTTTACATATCAAAATTTGAATACAGTACCCATATACAGTACTTTTCAGTATTAAAAAAAAAAAAAAAAAGACTACAGTACTCAAGTCTATGGACTCTGGGCATCACATTTAACATGAGCTGACTCAGTCAAGGGGTGTTGGTTTCTAATCCCCACCTCAAAAGACGATGTCCATCTCTTTTACCCCCCCCTCCCAAAAGGGGCCTGGGGCCTGACTGCAACACTTTCCCCCCAACCAACCAATATAACACTCGCCATAAAATCACCTTAAATCCTGCAAAGCTTAATTAAATGAGGCTAGGCCCCAGCATATGGACTCTAACCTTGGACATGCAAGGTAAGACTGGTAAAGCAAATTCCTCCCCACAATGAAAAAAATAATTGTAGTTCCATATTTAAATTAAGAAGAGTACAGGGGCCTAGACAATATTACATTCTAAACACATGTAAACACTGTGCTCTCTCTCTTGAGAGCACGGAATTCGCATTGGTAGAGGTCACAGCATTGACAGAGGTAGAGAGCAAAGCATTTTCACGAGTAGAAAGCACAGCACTGCCATGCATATGGAATACAATATTTGCAAGTTTAGAGAGCATAGTACAGAACTGGCATGTGTATACTGTACAATATTAAGTTGACTAAAAGATACAGCAATACCATATGTAAAGGGTACAGTATTACATTATGGAAATTATGATAATAGCATTCTTGTGCAAAAAGTAGACTGCATTAAAGTAAACCCAACCGTACTACGGTACCAGAATCTGATACCAGTACCGTTATCAGACCTTTAATTAAGAGATGCTGTAAAAATAAATATTTACAATTTCATTATGCATTATATATTTATACATGTAGTAATCAAATGAATGTAACTGCTAATTAAAATGTAACACTAATTAAAGCCTCCTCAACACAAACCAAAACTGTAATTTCTCCAGAAGCCAATACTCTACCCTCTACACAAGCTAACACTGTTCTCACAGCATGTACCAGCATTGTGCATATTACAATTGCAGATATTGTATTATAATTGATTCACATATCTTAATATTAATAATTTATAATTAATATATATCAATGCTATCTATTGTATGAATTACTATTACACTACAACAAAAGTATCTAAGTAAATTTGTTTATTGTATTTACAGATAAACGGGTGAAATATACTATATAACTGGAGCAAATTCCTTTCTACAAATTATTTTAACATTATATTTACTGAAAACTTACCAAACAACTATTGCAGCAGCATGAAATGCTAAAACAAAAAAAAAATAAGGTTCCATGTTTACATTAAGTACTCAGACAAAAGCAAACCAGACCTTTGATTAAGTGATGCTGGATGAATAAATATTAAAATGTTATTATACATTATATATTTATTAAGTGACTAAAGAAAATACTGCACTTAGTTCATTCAGCTTTTCACATACTAAAACTTTACATCCTAATCCTGTATACTCTGGATATACTATGGTTGCATCTTTTGGACAAGACAATATTGAACACACTACACATGCCAATACTGTCCCCTCTACACTTGCTATTGTTGTACTTTCTAACCATGGCAATACTGATTTATCTACTATGCCAGTGCAATGCTTAGCCAATGCCAACTACTCTCTACCCATGCGGTTCTGCGCTCCCTACCCCGCGCACTTCTGCGCTCCCTACCCCGCGCACTTCTGCGCTCCCTACCCCGCGCACTTCTGCGCTCCCTACCCCGCGCACTTCTGCGCTCCCTACCCCGCGCACTTCTGCGCTCCCTACCCCGCGCACTTCTGCGCTCCCTACCCCGCGCACTTCTGCGCTCCCTACCCCGCGCACTTCTGCGCTCCCTACCCCGCGCACTTCTGCGCTCCCTACCCCGCGCACTTCTGCGCTCCCTACCCCGCGCACTTCTGCGCTCCCTACCCCGCGCACTTCTGCGCTCCCTACCCCGCGCACTTCTGCGCTCCCTACCCCGCGCACTTCTGCGCTCCCTACCCCGCGCACTTCTGCGCTCCCTACCCCGCGCACTTCTGCGCTCCCTACCCCGCGCACTTCTGCGCTCCCTACCCCGCGCACTTCTGCGCTCCCTACCCCGCGCACTTCTGCGCTCCCTACCCCGCGCACTTCTGCGCTCCCTACCCCGCGCACTTCTGCGCTCCCTACCCCGCGCACTTCTGCGCTCCCTACCCCGCGCACTTCTGCGCGCACTTCTGCGCTCCCTACCCCGCGCACTTCTGCGCTCCCTACCCCGCGCACTTCTGCGCTCCCTACCCCGCGCACTTCTGCGCTCCCTACCCCGCGCACTTCTGCGCTCCCTACCCCGCGCACTTCTGCGCTCCCTACCCCGCGCACTTCTGCGCTCCCTACCCCGCGCACTTCTGCGCTCCCTACCCCGCGCACTTCTGCGCTCCCTACCCCGCGCACTTCTGCGCTCCCTACCCCGCGCACTTCTGCGCTCCCTACCCCGCGCACTTCTGCGCTCCCTACCCCGCGCACTTCTGCGCTCCCTACCCCGCGCACTTCTGCGCTCCCTACCCCGCGCACTTCTGCGCTCCCTACCCCGCGCACTTCTGCGCTCCCTACCCCGCGCACTTCTGCGCTCCCTACCCCGCGCACTTCTGCGCTCCCTACCCCGCGCACTTCTGCGCTCCCTACCCCGCGCACTTCTGCGCTCCCTACCCCGCGCACTTCTGCGCTCCCTACCCCGCGCACTTCTGCGCTCCCTACCCCGCGCACTTCTGCGCTCCCTACCCCGCGCACTTCTGCGCTCCCTACCCCGCGCACTTCTGCGCTCCCTACCCCGCGCACTTCTGCGCTCCCTACCCCGCGCACTTCTGCGCTCCCTACCCCGCGCACTTCTGCGCTCCCTACCCCGCGCACTTCTGCGCTCCCTACCCCGCGCACTTCTGCGCTCCCTACCCCGCGCACTTCTGCGCTCCCTACCCCGCGCACTTCTGCGCTCCCTACCCCGCGCACTTCTGCGCTCCCTACCCCGCGCACTTCTGCGCTCCCTACCCCGCGCACTTCTGCGCTCCCTACCCCGCGCACTTCTGCGCTCCCTACCCCGCGCACTTCTGCGCTCCCTACCCCGCGCACTTCTGCGCACTTCTGCGCCCTACCCCGCGCACTTCTGCGCTCCCTACCCCGCGCACTTCTGCGCTCCCTACCCCGCGCACTTCTGCGCTCCCTACCCCGCGCACTTCTGCGCTCCCTACCCCGCGCACTTCTGCGCTCCCTACCCCGCGCACTTCTGCGCTCCCTACCCCGCGCACTTCTGCGCTCCCTACCCCGCGCACTTCTGCGCTCCCTACCCCGCGCACTTCTGCGCTCCCTACCCCGCGCACTTCTGCGCTCCCTACCCCGCGCACTTCTGCGCTCCCTACCCCGCGCACTTCTGCGCTCCCTACCCCGCGCACTTCTGCGCTCCCTACCCCGCGCACTTCTGCGCTCCCTACCCCGCGCACTTCTGCGCTCCCTACCCCGCGCACCCGTGCACTTCTGCGCTCCCTACCCCGTGCACTTCTGCGCTCCCTTCCCCGTGCACTTCTGCGCTCCCTACCCCGTGCACTTCTGCGCTCCCTACCCCGTGCACTTCTGCGCTCCCTACCCCGTGCACTTCTGCGCTCCCTACCCCGTGCACTTCTGCGCTCCCTACCCCGTGCACTTCTGCGCTCCCTACCCCGTGCACTTCTGCGCTCCCTACCCCGTGCACTTCTGCGCTCCCTACCCCGCGCACTTCTGCGCGCCCTACCCCGTGCACTTCTGCGCTCCCTACCCCGTGCACTTCTGCGCTCCCTACCCCGTGCACTTCTGCGCTCCCTACCCCGTGCACTTCTGCGTGAAGTGCACGGGGTAGTTAAGGTGAAGGCATTGCCATGCTGGTAAAAGAACACCTAAAAGGTAAATGAATTAATGATTGCCAACCCATGAGAGGATATAATGGCTCTGTAGATTTCTATTCAGGATGGTAAACTAATAATCATAAATACCTACAGTAAATTGGCATGCAACACATGGCCAAAAGAGGAGCTGCACGACAAACAACATGGCCTCAATGCTCGTGAGAGAGGCTATAGTAAAAGAAGATAAAGATAGATCATGATTGTTGGTTCTTAGTAACAATCTTGAAATCCATTGAATGGGAGGCCTACGAAGCAAGAACATAGGGTTTTTGGACTGGTACAATCATAAACGTGGAGACCTTCATGTATCAACATGTTAAACAAGCATGAAAATGAATATTAAATGCTGGATTTAATATTCACCCGGAAAAATGAAGAGATATTTGACATTCAGTACCTTTTCCCTTTGGCCTAGAGTGACCATGTCCTTTTGGAAATAAAGTATGCAAGGCATTATAATCTAGAAAAGAATGAGCAAAATGAAGCAGTTGAAAAACAAGATTTCAGAAGAGGACAATATGAGAAACTCAGAGTTCTTTAACAGATTTGACTGGATTGACTTGCTGTTAGGCATGAACATAATGGGAATCGACAAAATTAGTAAGGAAGAATTCTAGAGACCAGGAACTTCAAGAACATGAGGTTATATATTTAAGCTTACTAAACAAAGCTGCAAAAGAAATAATAAAAATTCACTCTCACAGATTGGCAGGCAGTTGGAATAGGTTAAGTGAGGTGGTGGTGGTGGCGGCAAAAACTGTCGGAAGTTTCAAAGCATTATACGACAGAGTGCTGGAAAACCAGGACACCACAAGTGTAGCTCTCATCCTGTAACTACACTTAGATAATTACACTTATGTAATTATACACCCTCCCTATCTATCCCAGCACACACCCTCTCTATCTCCCATAAGAAATCCTCCCACACCTTCCTCATACACCTTCATGTCTCAAGCACACCCTCTCTCCTCTCTCTCACCCTCTCCATGTCCCCCCCTATACACACCTTTACTATATCTCACATCACTAACCATTTTCCTTATACACTACTAACATCATGGCAACCAACAGATTGCACACACAATCCAAAACTTTCATTTGAATATACATTTCACATATCAAAATCTGAATACAGTACCCAAATACTGTACAGTATTTAAAAAGACTACAGTACCCAAGCCTATGGACTCTGGGCATCACATTTAACATCAGCTGACTATGTGAAGGGGTGTTGGTTTCTAATCCTCACCTCAAAAGGCGATGTCGGTCTCTGATGCACCTTCAAAAGAGGCCTGGGGCCTGACTGCAACCCCCCCCCCCCACAAACCAACCAATATAACACTCGCCATAAAAATCGCCTTAAATCCTGCAAAGCTTAACGGGGCTAGGCTCCAACATATGGACTCTCTACCTAGGACAGCCATGCAAGGTTAGAATGGTAAACTCTTAAGTAGACTGGTAAAGCAAATTCCTTCCCACAATGAAAAAAAAAATAAAAAATAATAAAAATGAAGTTCCATATTTAAATTAAAAAGAGTACAAGGGACAGCAGAATAAAAAATTTTCCTCATTTTGTTAGTGTAACTTTAGAAATTTACTAGTGTAATTACTTTAGTATAGTTACTTACAGTGTACCTGAAAGTACTTGTAAGCAATCTACCTCATTTTTCTGTTTTTCATTTTGTGTTTGTCTTGTATAGTCTTGTTTATATTTTTATTTTTCCCCTCTTTTATATCAAAATGTTGTTTTGTAACTGCCATTCTGGCCTTGTTTTCCTACAACCAGCCTTATGCAAACAAGTATAGACCCTGAACTAAACCTCTTATCCACTATCTATGACAATCATCCCTTTAATGATCAAAATTGCAGATATTTTACACCTCATGATGTAAACAATGTATTAACACATAATCACAATATCTCTGTAATTAACTTGAATGTAAGATCACTAAGCAAACACTTCGATGATGTTAGTGCCTTGATTGAAACTACTGACAACAAATTCTCTTTTATTATACTTACTGAAACGTGGTTAAAAGAGGACACTACTCAACTCTTTAACATGCCAAACTACTCGGCAATTCACAACTGTCGACCAATTCAGAGAAGTGGTGGTACTGCTCTTTACTACCACCAAGAACTAACATGCTTAAAAGTTATTAGAACTAGAGACTACTGTGGGGAGTATATCTTCGCCAGTTTCAGAGTCAAGGGTGCTGAGTCTGTCCTGACTGTGGGAGCAGTCTATAGAATTCCTAACACTGATGTGTCCAAATTCAACTCTAATCTTAGACATCTAATACTAAATAACAGACTGAAAAGCCATCTAATTATCGCAGGGGACTTTAATATTGACCTCTGCGAGCCTGAAAACCCTACTGCTGCCAGCTTCCTCAACTGTATGAATTCCTCCTTCCTCATACCCTTAATCACTAAACCTACTAGAATCACTGATAGTACTGCCACAGCTCTTGATCACATCTGGACCAACATAACCTCTCCGTTTACTTCAGGGATAATCATTGATAGCACTACAGACCATCACTCCACATTTCTCCTAACATTAACAAACCACCTCTAGAGACAAGGGAGATAAGCTTTAGGCTGCACAATAAAACTGCCATAGGCAATTTTATAGCTGCTGCTGCTAATGTCAACTGGGAGTCCGAATTAGGTAACATAGGGGACATCAACCTAGCAGTGCAATCTTTTCTTCATAAAACTCTCCACCTTTATAACACCCACTGTCCTATGCTAAGGAAACAAGTCACAACTAAAAGGCTAAACAATCCTTGGCTTACAAAGGGGATACTTTAAAACATTAATAAAAAACATGACCTTGAGAAGAAGTTTAGGTTAGGAATCGTCTCCAAAGAATTTTCAAAGAATTACTTATCATTGCTATCTAAGATAATTAGGAGAGCCAAAATTAAAAACTACGAAGATAAATTTACCCACACAAAGGGCAACATTAAGAAAACATTGAGCACACTTTCACAAATATTGGGATCAAAGAAGATTTTAAATAAACCAATATTTCTGTCAAATAATGATGGTCTGCTTTCAGCCTCTGACACTGCTTTTGAGTTCAATAGGTTCTTCTCTTCCATTGGGTCATCCCTTGCAAATGATATTCCATCTTCCAGTGTACTAATATTCAGGACTATCTTACAGGTAACTATCCAGTCTCTGTACCTAATGCCTACTACTAATTCCACTGATGTTACTGACAATCCTTTCCCTTAAAACCAAGTCTAGTGCCCTTTATGAGATACCAACTCTTATTTACAAAAAAGCCTCCAGATTTTTAACTCCTGCCATTGCATCCCTCTACAACAAGTCACTTGAACTTTAAACCTATCCAGATATTCTAAAAAAAGCGACAGTATCCCTAGTCCATAAATGTGGTGATCTCACTGATGTCAACAATTCCAGACCTATATCACTTGTGCCAAACTTGTCCAAAATATTTGAAAAACTAATCTACAAGCAGCCTTATTCTTAATTAGCCAAACACAACATACTTAGTTCTTGCCAATATGGATTCAGACCCTAAAAAACACTAACGATGCACTTTTAGTATAATTAACTTGATAAATGCTGCTCCTGATAAAAATGAGTTCCCTGTTGGTTTATTTGATGACCTACGTAAGGCTTTTGACACTCAACCACCAAAACCTTTTTAAATTACATCATTATGGAGTCAGAGGTCACTACCTACAATACCTTCAGTCTTACCTTACTGACAGGCTCCGGAATGTTTCTTTATATAATTCCATTTCTCCCACCCTACCCATCAACATTGGTGTTCCACAGGGTAGCATACTTGGCCGTCTCCTCTTTTTCATCTACATTAATGACCTTCCAAATGCCTCCCAACACCTGAAACCAATCTTATTTGCTGATGACACAACCTTCATTTTCTCCAGTTCTGACCCTCTTGCTCTAAACGTCACAGCGAATATTGAGCTAAATAAAGTCCATCTTTGGCTAACTCCTAACGAACTCACCCTTAACACTTGACAACTTTCTGTATTTTATTTGGTAATAAATCCTCTAATCAAATTAATCTAAGAACAAATAATATCAAAATCAGTAACAAAGTACAGTAAATGGCAAATTCATTGGTGTTCTCATCGATAGCAAGCTGAATTTCCAGGGACACATTCTAAGTATAGCTAAAAAAACCAGCGTTGAATGTAATGAAACGCCATTTTCTGGGTGAGACCCGGAGGCTCCCCGGAGCTTTACCGGCTGATATGCTAATGTCAGACTTTGGCATCAGTCATGTGTATGGAGTTCTAGGGCCTACCGGGGACCACGAGCCAGAACCTGGCCCCCTCAGAGAGGCAAGGGGAGCAATGGCCTATAGAAACCCCCGTGTGGTTGGAAGCATTCTATGTCTGCCATCGACCGGGTCAAGCATCCAGAAAGGTAAGCATTCCAAAACAAACCCCTATTCTGGTGAAAATTGCTACCTAAGCCGAACTAGTGGATAGAACTCTTCAACAGAAAACAAGGAAACTAGTATGACGTCATACGTCACCGCGCCGCTGTCAGCGCAGCTCCCCCTCCCCGGGAGGGGGAAGGGGGAGCCCCAGACCTCCCACGCCGGCTAGCCACCCATCAGTTCTGAGGCTGGATGTCAAAACACGCGAAAAACGCCGACCGGAGGGAGGGAGGGTTGCCGGGGAGCCTCCAGGTCTCACCCAGAAAATGGTGTTTCATTACATTCAACGCTGGTTTTCTGGGGGGAGCCCCGTCGGCTCCCCGGAGCTAACTACCCACAGAGGAAGGTTAAAGGGACAAAACCGGGAGGCGGACACCACGCACCCCCCAAGGAGGCGAGACAACCAACAGCAAACGCCAACCCAAGGCGCCACAGCCCCGAAATCCCGGGAACAACACGAGAACCACGAGCAGCAAGGCCCCTGCACGAACACCAAAAATCCATGCCCGAAAGACTGCAAGGCCACGTCGCC